TTCTACAAATCGTAGTGTAGTGTTTGAGTTTTAGAGTTGAATTAACTATAAGGTAATGTTAAATTTTGAGTTATGTACGTGATTTGGTGTATCTGTCTGAGTTACGAGTATGAAATATGGGTAATAGTTTGATATTTATAGGTTGCAAACATGTTTTTACGCTTAGGGTTAGAGTTAGAGTTTATCATTTTTATATTTAAAATGTCAAATTTGCATAAAAGTGTTAATTTATGAATATATTATATGTTTTGAATGTTTGGAATAAATTTAGATATAGGGTTTCAAATAATAATTGAAAATAATCGAATTAGGTTTCCGGATAGTAGACTTCGTATGAAGTCTACTTAGAGTTTATGGTTTCATCGAGAGTTTAGGTTACTAATTGAAGTGTGTGAATATATTCCAAACTTTAACAGACTTCTAACGATGACCAAAACTTTGAATTTTTTTGGACATTTTGGTGAAATTTTAGGCGCGTATTTATCCCGCCAAAAATGAATTTATGACCAATCTAGAAACTTTAATTACTTTTTGTCAAAATTATTCTTCATAAATATATTCAAATATTCTATTATTCTATTATTCAAAAATATCAAAATTATTTGTCAAAAATATCAAAATTATTTGTCAAAAATGTCAAAATTATATTCTATTATTCTTCATAAATATATTCTTCATAAATATATTCTAGTCCCGAGGCTCGTCGGACACACGAGCCATATGTTCGGCGCTCTAGCGGCTCTCGTGCTCGTCTCTGTCTTTTGCACCACGTTTGCTTCCGTCCTTCTTCTTCTTTGGTTTCTTTGACTCTCACTCGTAGCTTACGACACGTTCAACGAGATCAAGCTCTTTTACTCGGAGTCTGGCGCCGGTTTACCTCAGTCGTCACCGGTTTGATATTGTGCTTTGTGTTAATTAAAGTGTAAGGTCCATTTCATATATCACTAGTAAAATAAGAGTAGTGAAAATGTGAAATCAAAAAAGTTTAAACAAAAATATTAAGATGGATGAACAATTGTGATATATATTTATAAACAAGATTCAGTTCAGTTTTTTCGGGGTTAGGAAAAATGACAAAGATGCCGTATTGTAATATATTTCAGATTCTCTCAAGGTTGGAACGAGAGAGAATTAGAATTGTGAAAATACATTCATTAGATTGAAAACCAACGATACAATAATCCTTATATACAAAAACCACGAAACCAAGTATAAAGCATAAACCAAAACCAGAGATAACCGGATGTATTAGTCGGTCCGAAATCCGTCCAATTCCAACGGATACATATCTGTCCGAAGTGCCGTGGAAAATTAGCCCGTTTTCTTGTAGTGGTATTTCCATCTTGGATTTGATGAATCCATGGGCAGGGAAGGGCTTGATGACCTCTCTTTACCCTTCACAGTGAAGGTAGGTNTAGAANCNTGTGAANTTGAGAGACCATGGGATTTACAAAAGTTTTGTTTACAAAAATCAAGCGATAAACCTAAGAGAGTGATGCATTAGCAAATCACTATTCAACAATATTTAGCGGATTTGAGCATGGGGAACTATGTGGAAAAAAAACTACGAAAATATGTTGCCATCACCGGTTTTATTCTCTTCTTCAGGAAACATATTAGTACACGTCACATTTAAAATCAAAATAGAAAGATTTTAATGTAATTAAGCAAAATGATTTGTTCGTTTTATGAGAGTCCAACAAGAGAAGAGATCTTTGTGAGTAAAGCTTCTTGGAAGCTTCCAAGTTACAATTTCCACAACACCGACCCCAATTTCAGAGGGATATAACTTATAATTGTCATTTTTCAATCTCAATCACTTGGAATGTCTAAATCATGCATATACGCTTAGGGATTATATAAATCATGTAATTTTGCTGTTAGACGTTTAATAGTTAGAACATCATTCAG